AAAAAAAAAGTCTTTATAGTTATGTGTATTCCACCCCATTTGTTGCCCAGTGCTGTGGGCTCGATTGCCGATCCACTGTTGAGCACTCAGCTGCATTTTTAATATAGAAAAAAATGGCCTCAATCATTTAATTCTCAGCGAGAGATAAAAAAAAGACGTTTAAGAAGCTCAGAAAATATTGAACCATGCCGTTTCCTTTTATCCTTTAAATCTGTAAAGAATGTCTATAAAAACAAAGAATTGGTGATAAACATTTAATGAACACAATAAAATGACAGGACACAAAATCCTTTTATTCTAAAGCATCACAATATTTTCTTAAATTGCACAAGATCAGATGTAAATAGAAGGTAGTGTTGCTTAATTTAAAACATAGACAAAAAAAGCAGGAAATTACTGTATATACTCTCTAATACTGACATTTAGTTCCAAACTGGACTGAAACGGTGAAGGTCACTTCATTAGCGCCGTTTCGATCAAAAGCCGAGATTACATTTAAGTGAAATCCCTTTAGTACAACCTGCTATTTCGCTTTTTTTTTTGGTTTGGACTCTCCAAGAGAAATGGAGACACGTTATAAAGCAGAGCGAGTGTCAGTTAGCGAGCCGTATGCCGCTCCAGCCCCAGAAACAGATAAAAGTCGCACAGCCTCACAGGGTTAATCACCGTTTCAGTCATCTGTTATTTTCAGGGCTGTAGTCTCTCCATCATTTCATGTTTGCAGCTGGATGGCCGACCTAGTGTCGATGTGATCGCTCCGTCTGGCAGGTCCATTCTATATTCCTTTCTGTACAACTATACATATGCTGAGAGGAGCGTGTGTGCGTTAGTGCTGCAGCTGGGCCGCCGGCTCTGCGGCGGCGTGGCGGCGCTGGCTCTGAATGTGGGAGATCTGCAGGACGGGCAGGAGCAGCTGGAAGGCGTTGTGGATGTAGTTGGTGCTATTGGAACCCTGCGCAAAGGCCCAGAAACCGTCATCAGCAATGAGGGTGGGTCATGATTGCAGCATGAGTGGAATCAAAGGTTTGGAATGTAATGCATTTCTACAATTAATATCCTTAGATTTAATCACGCAGTTTTAGATATTCAATGGGAAACCTTTGTGTTTTCCTAACACTTCTAGCCATCCGCTTCAAATGAGTTCAAACCTAAGCCAGCTTATGATCAGCACGCCTGTGCATTTTTTTTCATCAGCCCCTAGATTATTATCGGGGTTATTTGGGGAAAGCAATCTCACCTCTAGCAGCACGCCGTCCACGAGTGGATTCAAGTCCTCTGCTTTCCGCTGGCCCTGCAGGAGGAACAGCTTAGATTCATTTTCACACAATCTCCGGTGGGGAAATGTACAGACCAGTGACAAATGTGTTGTGCACAGGTGAGGAGCGACATATCTAGTGTTACCACTGAGATACCACTAAATGCATCATTGTGTTCTATTTGCACTATTTACTGAGAAACATAAAAGCATCTTAGCTTTTATTTATCCTAAAAAAACAATATATAGATATATATGCAGGAGCTTTCTGAGGGTTAGATATGACCTCTTGTATGGCAGTTCAACAAAAACCATTTCCCTTGATGATATGAGTCTGTAATCGTACCCCAACTAGAAGCAGTGTGTCAGAAAACCTCTTGGCCAAACAATCCACCTCCTTGCACATGGCGCACGTCAGCCTGGAATGTAAAGGTCAGTCATGCTGTCAGAACACAGCTCACTCCTCTAAACAGTACCCTCACACTCACACACACACACACACACACACTCTCTCTCTCTCACACACACACGCACACACAGAGACCTGGTGAGGATCTGTGCCTGGTCCCTGGCAGACTTTTCCTGCTCCTGACCATGCAGGATGAGCTCTGCCACCTTGTGGAGCTGCTCGATGCTGCGAGCCGTCACTTCTGCCAGGCTGCTGACTGACGACAGGTAGACTCCCTGCAGGGAGGGGGAGAAACAGGCGTGCACACGGAGCATCAAACCGAGCGGTAACAGATGGAGGAAAGGTGGCTGAAAATTAGACTTTGCATCCAAACGCTGAGTTGACCTCACCTCTGCGGACCTCGGGTCGCTCTCTTTTATCTCTCCGTCCTTCTCTCCCTCCTTCGTCTCCCCCCCCTCCTGCTGCTCGCCGTCTTTCTTCTCCTCCTCCTCTTTGCTCTCTCCAGGTGAGGCCTGTCCTGGCTCGTCCTGCGTTTCCCTGCCAACTGTCTCCGTAGTGACAGGCTGCTCCACCTTGTTCATCCAATCATGGGCCTTCATTCTAGCCTGAAGATGCATAATTACCACCCATCAGCTATGCATGGAGAGAGCTCACCATCCTGATGTATGCTAATAAGATGCATATACATGATTCTATGCTAATGGGGGCTCTAAACGTGAGTTGGATTATGCTGAGGAGCTTCAAAGAACATGGCTTTTATATTGCCTACAGACTTGTAGCAGGATGCTAACAGAGCTGTATCTGTTTGTGTGTGTTTGCATTTCAGTTGGTTTTAGGACATCACTTCACATGCAGCAAAAGAAAGAATGATGTCTATTAATGACTGATCCCTGCATTCTGACTTTAATTTAAGATGAAATGTATTATTAATGTATTATCGGACTCTATCCGACTCAGACACCAGTTTCTGTTCAACAAAGACGACAACCTGTTGTTCCACCGGAGTGTTAAACACTTAAATATAGTGGCAGACAATCAAAATAAAATAAATATATATATATCGATGAACCTAAGGCAGAGGATGATCGTGACTCATAAAAAACAGCATGTTTCTAGTTTTCTCAGAGGCTACAGGATAGAGATGCCTCACAGGCAAAAGTCTGTTTTTTTTAAAGGCTTCTCCTTTTAACTAATTCATTTACATCAGGTTAAAGAACTGTTTACTTACTAAGTTGCTTTAATGCAATTTTGGGTGGGTGCCCTTGGCCAACTCACAGTGGTATGTTGACATTTGAAGCAGAACCCACGTTTTTATTGCTAATTCAGCTAACAAGACGAGTTTTAAAGGGAAATTTGCTGCTGTTAAAAAAACATCGAACATCTGTGTCATCTGGTTGTGTTCACACTCCCTCAACCAAAAAAAATAAATCGAACGGATTTTGTGTCAGGTAAATCTAAACCACACGATGATGTGCACGCTTGTGCTTTGTGTGCCTGCACGTGTCACCTTGTTGAGCTTGTCGGGTGTCGCAGCGACATGGAGCTCAAACAGCAGCTCAGTAAGAACGCTTACGAACTCCTCACCGTCAGCAGCTGAGAAATAACAAACACACAAACACACACCTCTGTCATGTCAGCTGCTGTACAATTACACACCACAAGTGACGTGCAGCTTCAAACCAAATGTCAAAGATGCCATTTCCCGCCCGTGTTTGAATTAATCCCAGCATCTTGATCAACATTCAAGGCAAACCATGCGGCGCGCATGCGGATTGGCTGTCTTGATCTGACATCTGTGTTTCTGTTGTGGTGTGAATTGGTCGGTGGCCCCTGAGCACCCACGCTGGATCAGGCGCCGCCTTGGCTAGTGATGTGATTAGAGGTGAACCTGTAGCTCAGATGAAGCACTTTGGTCTTCAGTAAATTAGGTCTATTGTACCATAAACTATGTGTAAAAGATGTGTAAAATGTATGGTAATCCTTTCATAGCTATTGCTTTCTAAGCAGGCAAAACCACCCGAGGACAAAATGTAGGCAGTACACGGAAAGACAGTCAGAGCTCTAATATTAAAGGGACTACAAACAGTTGCCTGCTGAAGCCCTAGGGCCAGTTCTGTGGTCAGGAAAAAGCCTTTTGAAAAACTAAGTAGGTGAAAAAACAAACAAAACAAAAAAGATTAAAAAAGGAACCGGGCCAATATCAGCGAAACATGAATTGGAATCTGTGTGGGGTTTTACTGAAAAGAATCTGCAACACTTCACGAAGGAAAAAGCCTGATCAGCTAGCTTTGCCTTCATCACACCACGAAATATGAACTGGTTTACCGATCAGCCAAAATATTAACTAATGGATGAATGTTGTGTGTCGGCCTGTCTGTAAGTTTGATGTTGTATCAGACTGGGTGCATCATAATATGCCGTTAAGAGCATGATCTTTACAAATGTCAACATTTTTTAGGAAAGAATATTATTAAAAAGAGAGGGAGGATTATTTGTCAGTTATGTTAAGCAAGAGATTTGATCTCACCAATACCCTGCTCTACATCTGAGCACAGGCAAACTCTTCATCATATACCCCCCGCCCCCCATTACTTCTCAGCATGTGCGACCAAGTCAGAGTCTACCAAAGGCTGCCTGATCCTGGGTCAGTGCTCGGGGACTGCCTCTGGCCTCCAGCTGGTGCGGGTCACTCACATAAGAGGACAGAACTGTGTATGTGGGAACTTAGATCACCATTATCCTTCGTCTGTCCTCTGTTCTCCTCTCCTTCCTCCTCTTCTTCATGCTGTTTGAGGAAAATCTCTTTGATGAAAATCAGCTCCTTCTTCATCTCGTCCTGCTCTTCCTCCGACAAGGAGGAGAGGAACTCTTGGACCTGAGAATAGATGCACAGATGACAGCAACAGAGCAGGTCCATCACATTCTGTTTTTAGGAAAAGTCCCACATATTCCAAAGTCTTTGCGCCTTACCTTGACCTCACTCTCATTGGACAAGATCTCCAAGGCCTCAAGGTGCGACAACCCCTGGTAGTCATCAAACAGAATGCCGTAGTGAGCAGTGGGAGCACTGATGGGCTGGTTGCTCAGACGTGCCCGCTCTCTCTCCTTCGCTTCTTTCAGCATCTGAGAGAAGAAAAAAAAAAAAAATCACAGATTCCACATTAGCAACAAGCGGTCAGGTCAGAGACCACGTGTTCCAGCCTGGAACCAGCCATTCTGGTGTGAAGCCGGCGTGTTTGTGGGTGCACATCTGCCTGCCTGACTCAGTGAGACCGTCCTCTGCATCAGGGTTTTGGTCTTTTTGAAGCCCGGGTCGCTTTCAGCCAGAACGGTCATGGTCTTCTTTCCGATGAACTCCAAAGCATCGAGACCTCCGCTGATCACGGACTTTCCCTTTAAGGCAGAGGAATGCAAGTTGTTGATTACTGCGCTGTGAGGTTCAGTTTAATCTATTACTCTGGACATTAGAAAACCAAAAGGAAAAATACATTTTTTCCTTTAGCACTTCACAAAAGTGCATTCATACGACATACACACTTTGAAATGCATGTGTGTGTGTGTGTGTGTGTGTGTGTGTGTGTGTTTCTCACAGTGTTCTGCACAGCGTGTGTGATTGTTGAGAAAACCCCTCTGCTTGGTGCAACGACAGAACGTGAGGAGGACAATTCCTCCGTGCCGGACGGGTCAGCGTCCTCCACCTCGCCTCCTCCTTCTTTCCTCTCCTCTGACGCCTCCTCCTCTTCTTGAGCCTCCTCTCCCACTGAGGTCCTGTGGAGGCGGAGGGCCTCTCCTGCCTTCTCCTTAACCGAGGTAAGGCTCTGTCCTGCTCACAGACCCATGCAAAGTGAAAGGTTAAGAAGGGATTGCAGGAAAGGGATGGTTCAATACTCTTTTCAGAAATCATCACCAGTTTTCTAATCTGCTCTATATTACTCAGTATGAAGGTAGAACGTATACTCCATATCAGTGAGCTTAAAGGAAATAGGGAAAGAGAGAGTGAGACGTGCGGCGTACCGACTGTGGAGGTGGCGCTGCTCAGCAGAGACTTTCCCCATGAACTCCAACCTCCCCAACCTCCCTCATTCTGCTGGAGGGACATCTGTCATGTATTTAAGCAAATGTACATCATGAGAAACATCGCTTTCACATATGTATATGTGTGTGTGTGTCTGTGTTGGATCACAGACACACTGAGCCCAATAACGCACTACAATGCTGAATGCCTGCGGCTCATTAAATAATATCAGTTTACAGTTGCTTGATACGATACATTTGACAACCACGTGATTTATAGCAATTTCTGAGAACCAAACAAAATACAATTTCCTTAGATGTAGAATGGCCTTCTAGAAGGCTTGATTAAATAATGGGTTGAAAACTGTTGTTATTGTACATGAAATAGAGAGTTATCCTCTTATTTTCCTCTTTACTGCCTTTCCCAGTGGATGCCATTAGACAAAACCCCTGATATCTGAAAAGATTGAGCAGAGAAGCAGAAGGGAGCCGTGACTCTCACACCTCCACGTGGTCCCCTGCAGGCTCTGCGTCCGGCTCCAGGCTGACCGGTTGGTCACACACGACCGCCTGGCCCTCAGCGGGCGGCTCGGTTTGACCCTCGGACGCGTTGTTTTTGTCCTCCTCTGCTTTCTCCCGGTTAGACTGTGGGACGTCCGCACTATCTGGGATTAGAGGAGGCTCAGGTGGAGCCGGTGCAGAGGTGAGGGCAGATGGGACATCCTGACAGGGGCCGGGGTCAGCGTGGAGCGGGGGGTCAGGTGTCGGCGTGGTGTCACTGCAGGGCTCTGCAGCTGAGGGGGCCTCCTGGGACATTTTTGATCTGACAGAGGACAAATCTTTGTCAGTGGAGCAAAAACTATTTCTTTGTTTTCCAGTCAAAAATGCTAACAATAATCAAAAACACTAACTGTATCTTAGGTAAGTGTATACCTAGTTTTATTAATGGCTTTTAAATGTGAACATTTTGTTTTACTTCTTTCATGGGGAAAAGTGTGACGAAGGTTTCTTTGGGTTAAAAAGAATATATAAATGTTTTAAATACACAGCTCTTTCTTGAATCTGTAAATAATAATGATCCAAACCCTGGAAGTGTTCAGCCTCCCTGAACAAAAGGTAAATTCAGTTAACAAACTCAGTAAATCAATGAAAACAGACAACAAACATTTTTCAATATCTCATTGGAGTTACAGACAAATATTGAGTTCATTCTCTATGTTACCTGTAAACTGGGATTAACTTTCCTACACTTTTTTGCTTCAGAGTTGAACTAAAGCTCGCTGAGCTGGTGGATAAATTAAATGCAATGAAAGTTACCCAGTTTCAATAAGAAACAAAGAGGTTGAACATTGGTTTGAGGCTCTCACGAGCGACATCTACTCGATATTAGGCTGCATTTCAGATCAAATTCAGAAGCCAAACAAAAGTCACAAAAAATGGATTTGTACTCGTGATTGGCCTCTTGGAATTCCCAGAACTACCGCTGCCCCGGTTTGGGATTTCATGAACAATTCCGCCACCTTGTGGTCATCTACCATACTACATCTATGGATACATTTATGTTTGTACGGACATACGACTGACATTTACCAAATGTTTTCATCCAGACTTTCAGTTTGCTGGCAGCAAAGGGTGATTTAAGGAACAAAACATTCAATGAAAATATTAATTATTAGTGAATCTGCAAAACAACTAAATAACTTGAGAGACGAGGAACAATGAGAATAACGCTCATATTGTTGCATGAAATAAACTGACATGCGACTGCATGTCAAAGTACGACGTAAGCCTCTAAAATTACACATCAGCTGCTATCAACATCAGGGTATGCCAAGAGTCTTTCTGTTTATTTTAACATAATTTCTAAAAACAACAAAACCTTACAACTTGGACAATAACACGAAGAAGACTGGGGTAGAGCCGTTTTGTTAAACTTTCTGCCAAAGCCAATGCAAGTCATTTTAAAATGAACGAGTACCACGAACGCACCTCAGCAGTGCAGCTGTTTTCTTTGAAACTGCTAGAGCTTTTATAAATGCGGATTCCCGCACTTTAGTTGATACAGAAATCCAGAAAAGCTTAAAAGACAGTTATGCTTCAGAGAAAGTGACTTAGCAGCTCACCCGTCTGGTGCCAGCCGGCGACTCTTCTTCCGCCCCGCCACGTCGGCAGGCCGGTCACTGACAGCCCCAGAGAGTAACGCCGTCAAGATGGTTGACTGCCCCCTGGAAAAATGATTAGCTTGTTTCACACAAGCTAACTCAGAGGAGACGGCGCTGGTTGCATAACATAAGAAATATATCTGTATATGTTGCATTAAACTCGAAGAAACTAATTTAGTTTTTAGGCTTTACTTTTAACGCTGACTTTGATGTGGTAGTCTTCTTTACTCTTTCAACATGCCGTAAATCCCTCTTCAGCATCACCACGTTAGCTAGCGGTGCTTTCCTCATTCCTCATTAGCAGTATTTTGTTATGTTAACATTCATTTCAGGGAAAAAGACTACACAACAAACAAGAAAAACAGCAAAATAGTCAAAAAGGTGAAGTCGCAAGTGAGCAGGAGTGAATCGTCTAGGTGACAAATGGTGAATGTTGGGAATTTCTGGTATCGCTGCGAGCAGAAGCAAGTAGAGTAAAGCTATTTTTACTCTTTGCAGAGGCACGAATACTTGCACTCAGAAATATTAGGGACGACGTTGTACGCTTTATTTGCCTTGTTTTCATTCTTAAACACAGGTCTGGAATTGTGACGGCACGGCTCGTTGGTCTAGGGGTATGATTCTCGCTTAGGGTGCGAGAGGTCCCGGGTTCAAATCCCGGACGAGCCCTGTTTTTGAACTCCATTTTACACTACTTCAGACGAACCCTCTTCACCTTAAACGCCTGAATAACCATTTCTAAACATTTATATCCGAAATAATTAATAAATATTTACAGTGAATGTTGTTTTGAACATCTGTATTGAAGAAAGTGTGTTTGAATTGAACCCCTGAAAGTATAACAACAACACGCTAATGTTTACATTATTTCAACTAATTTTTCATAAACTTATTAGAAAAAATGCAAAAGGACTGACAAAACTTTGCACACCACAACCCATTCTGCAAATGTTGCCACGGTAGTTTATTGAGTGGTAGGAATATTTTGTTTAACAATACAATAATGACAGAACTATACATTTATATCTTCACAGCTTTATATGTTCCCTTTGAATTGCCAATATTTAAGATAAAAAATAATATGTGATTTATGAAAGACACAAACGGAAGAAATGTTTAATAGAGTATCAAAATCATGCTTAATAAAAACCATTTATTGCCATTTCACTTTAATAATCATTATAATATATAACAACTTGCATGTGCAGAGATACAAAAACATGAAAAAGCAAAATTGCGAAGTGTATCAACGGGTAAATGCAGATCAGTTGAACTGCTACATTCTGTATGCGTGTTCACGTACAGGTGAATAAACGGGTGGAACTACATCGGTGGAGGATGACAAACAAGGACACCTAATGAAGGTTTCTGCTCAATCCAGCCAGTAACTGCAGGAGTAGAGAGAAAAAAAAGCTAATCTAAATTGTTTGGCCTTGTGAATTATACTAAGTATACTCTCAATGTATACCAACATGTATAGATAAAGTGCACATTTGGGATGTACAAAGACGCTCTTTAAACTATTTCACTCTCCAGAGGGTGTAAAATATAAAGTGTTCTATCGTGGTGGCATTTAACCGCAGAACCTGTTGACCTATGATAAGACTCATAGAAGAATATGGATTTTTTTTTCTTTCCTTTTAAAAAACACTAGTTCTGCAAACTGGGTTTGAACACAAGATACTTGGTCCAAATAAAAAGAAAAATAAAGAATTTCCCTGCTTTGTATTTCATATATATATAAAAGTGTCACATGATTGTAAATAGAAATGGCTACCAAGGTGTCACATCACAATCCAAAAGAGTTCATAGAAATATCTGTATATTTATATATATATATATAAAATTGTTATATAACAAGAATGTTTTTTACCCTTTAACCAACTGAGTTGTGTCTTTTACTCACATAATAATGCCCCTGTGCAGCAACTTTCACATTTCAGTATGAAAACATTGATAATCACTTCACTATGACAACAAAACGAGACCCACTGTCCCCTTTTTCTTAATTTTCTACACCCGAAAGCACGCGTGACCGAGACGGAGCTGCTTCTGATAAGTGCACGGCGTGTATTGCTGGAGAGAAAGCAAGCGTAAGCTACCTGTCAACACTTCATGATGTAAGCTTGTAGAGGCAGATGAGGTGTGTGGTGTTTTAGGGTGGTGGCCCATGAAGGAGGAGATCGCATCAGGCCGCAGCACTGATGGATCTAAAGCTGAGGGAGGAGGAGGAGGAGGAGGAGGGGGGGGGATAACACAATGCACGTGGGGCCTGCTATGATACATTCCGGAATGTTTCACATTTTATTGGCGTAGCAAGTTAAAAAAAAAAAAGGAAAAAAAAGGCATGCATATGTAAGTGGGAGACTACTTTTGGCTAAAACGCACGGAGAGACGTGGGATCTGATGGGTGCTGCTCTCAGACCAGCTGGGACGCTGCAGCCGCTTCGCCCAAAAGAAGCAACAAACAAAAAAGAACAAAAAAGAACAAAAAAAAGTGCGCGGAGCCAACACCGAGGCCACGCTTCTACCCAAAAAGTCAAGCGGAGCGCAGAGCGGCAAAGGTGACAGCCGGCCTTTGCTTTTGGATAAATAGGCGAAAAGAGTCCAAACGTTCACCCTGAGGAACACCCCCCCCCCTGCCACCCCCCCCCCCCCCCCCCCCGCCGCTCCCCCCCCCCCCCCCCCCCTCCCCCCCCCTCCCCGCCCCTTACCCACCCACCACCCCCTCTGGTCAAGGCCCAGTGGCACGGTCACATCCATCAACCCCACGGAAAGAGTTCTCTCTCTCAAGTTGGCCCGGCGGCGGGTCGGGTCACACCAGGAGGTGGCGCTTCTTGTGCAGGGCCAGGTGGTCGGAGCGGGAGAAGCTGCGCTCGCAGTCGGGACACTCGAAGGGCTTGTGGCCCGTGTGCTTGCGGTAGTGTCTCGTCAGCTCGTCCGAGCGAGCGAATTTCCACGTGCAGTCCGCCCAGCTGCACTTGTAGGGTTTCTCCCCTGCGAAAGAGAGAGAGATAGAACAGCGTGGGATCAGACAACGACCCGTTGATGGCGTGTGTGTGTGTGTGTGTGGGTGGGTGGGG